AAAGTTGGATGTCAACTGACTGAGCCACCCAGGCACCCCTAAATTTTTTAAAAGTTGGAATGGTAGAGTTCCCAAATTTTAATTTTGCCACAAAAGTTACTAAAAACTAAATACAATCTACTATCACTCATTTCATCAGAACACATTAGCATAAGCAATGACATAATTTCACTATGGAGAGTAGTGATTTTATTGAGTAAATTTAGGTTCACAAACACCTCATATAAAAATAGTCCCATGTGAATTTAAGATCTAAATATGGAGATGTAAAACTTTAAAAAGGTGTATTAGAATATTTATAACCTCAGGATAGAAAATAACTCCTTTTAAGAGAAAAGGCACAATCATAAAAGAAAATATTTGGGGGCTCCTCCTGGCCGGCTCAGTTGGTAGACCATGGGGTCGCTGAGTTGAGTTCCAGCCCAACGTCAGGTGTAGAGATTACTTAAATAAATAAATCTTTTTAAAAAAATAATATATTTGACTAGAATTAAGAATGTTTAGTCACAGGGGCACCTGGGTGACTGTCGGTTAAGCGTCCGACCCCCAGTTTCAGTTCAGGTCATGATCTCACGGCTTTCGTGGGTTCCAGTCCCGCATCAGGCTCTGTGCTGACAGTAGGAGCCTATTGGGGATTTTCTCTCTCCCTCTAAGTAAATAAATAAAACTTAAAAAACCCAAGTAAACAATTCACAGAAAAGGAACATGAATGGAAAAAAAAATGGCCAAAAAATAAATGAAAGTGTTCTCAACTACAGGGCTAACTGGTGACATGCAAATGAAAACTGCAGTGGGGTACCTCTTCATATACTCCTCAGAATGGCAAACCATAAGGAGTCTAATAAAGTTATTTGGAAGGTGAGAAGATAGACCCTCTCATCCATTACTATAGAAACACTTGAGAGAAAACTGGTAGTTATCCAATAAAGTTGAAGCTACTCCTACCCTTTGTTCTAGCACTCTACCATTAGATTTACATCTCAGGGCAATCTTCCTCAATGAGGGCTTTTTAGTTTAACAAATGGGGGCACTACTGAACAGCTGCCAGGGACACCAGGCACTCTTGGTGCATACAGATAATAATGCTGCCCCATGTCTTGTGACTTTTGAATATTCTGCTTGACACTCATTTAAGGGGATGAGGAGGGGTGGGGGAAATAAGGTCAGATATTTATAAACAGGACTTAACACAAAGTATATTTGTATTGCTTTAATATAGATGAAGATTTTAAAGAATGTGACCAGTATATAAAGAGAGAAGACCGCACTTTTATTTTTGTCCAAACTTTACCGAAAATAGTTACTTCAGAAACTCATTTATCAATGATAGTGCCACCATCGGTACTTAAACCCATTCAACACACCTATCTTAATTTGCATCAGCAGCTTACTCTATTCATGGTGATACTAATATGGATGCCAAGTATCTGGGTACTACTGTTTCTTCTAGCAGTGCTTCTTGGATTTCAATGTGCACACAAATCACCTGGGAATCTTGTCAAAATTCAGCATCAGTCAGTAGGGTAGGGCCTGAAATTCTGATTTCTAATAAGCTCCCAGAAATCTGATTTGCTAGTCTACTATCACCCTCAGTAGCAAGATTAGAGTGTGGTTTGGTCTGAGCATTTACACAGTGAAATATACTACTTTGTTATAAATTCTCATATTTTAGTAAGAGCATTACTTTAAAATATAATGTAAATTTACTACAAGTTTTAATGTTACTAATAAGTTTGTAAGGTCATTTAAATTTTAAATGAGTGTATTATTTTGAATTTCATTTTACGGCAGTATTGGGAAAGCTATAAAATATTTTTTCTTAATTTATTTATTATTTTTGAAAAAGAGGGTGAGCAGGTATGCAAGTGTGGGGGAGGGGCACAGCAGAAGGGGACCGAGGATCTGAAGCAGGCTCTGCACTGACAGCAGAGAGTCTGATGCAGGGCTTGACCTCAGGAACCTTGAGATCATGACCTGAGCTGACGTCAGGTGCTTAAATGACTGAGCCACCTAGGCACCTCAAGCTATAATATACTTTTATAAAAATGGGATACAGGCTCAAGAACCACTGCCCTAGAGGAAGTCTTGCACGTGAACCCAAGTAAACATATACAAGAATATTCCCTACGTCAGTGTTTAATAAGCAGTTGGAAAAAACTAAAATGACCAAAGGAATGTGACAGCCACAAAATGGAACACATACCATTACCGCAGTAAAAATAAACTAGAGTAACCTGAATAAACATAGATAAATCTTGGAAAACTGAGTTTAGAAAACAAACTACAAATACAAACATATTTAAATAGTCTTAATCAAAGAAATATTATATATGTTCATGGACATAAAGGCATGTAGTGAAGTATAAACATAGGAAGGATATATTTTAATTTCCGGTCAGTGGCTGGGAGTGGGGGAAAGAGGAAGGAGGATTTAAGAGGGGTGTACAGAGTACAAAGAAAGCTTCGTTTCATTTTGTATTTGTTTCTTCAACTGAGTAATGAGTGCATGAATATTCATGATATCATATGTTGCCAATACTTAAAACTGCTGTGCTATTTCTCATTTCATCCGAATTGGCAAAAACTGTTGGGTCCAGACAGCTGTTTGGAAAACACTACTCCAAAGCAAAGAATTCAGGGCTAGAAGTCAGAAAACCCAGGTTCAAGTCTCAGTTCTGCTTCTTAAAAATTATGTAGCTTTAGGCAATTCAAAGAATTAACTTCTCTGGGCTTTATCTGTAAAAATGTCATAAAACATCACTTGTCCTCCCCAACTCACAAGGCTGAGCTTGAGAAGTATAAACACAGAGCAATGTATACGAGAATTTTTTAACAAGGTAGGAAAAGGAGTAATTTTTGAGAAGAACAAAACCTTGGATATATTAGAAATAAAATCTACCAGTAAATAAACCAACAAAGCAACAAATTTGTCACTATGTTCTTGTCGTTACTGATTCTAAAGATATTAACACCAATCTTAACAAGGAAGCAATTGAGTTATCAATTCTTAGATGATGGCACAAGGGTAGACAGTCTCCCTATTACAATTCTCTTTCTTTAGGCTAATTCTTCAAGGATACCGAAATAAGAGAACTGCATTAAAAAGTACTCTTATTAAACTAAAACAATTAATGCCACATAACCAAAGTAACTTGGTTCTCGTTGCCCTTTCTACAAAGGGAGCGGGTGGCACATTGATTAGCCTTATATCACAGATGGAGAAACTGATTCAGATGTGGGATAGCTTGCTTGTCCTAAACCAATTCAGTGACAGAACTTAGAACAGACACTAATTGCCCAGTACTTCTGTGTTCATTAAGTTACCAAAAACATTATTTTGCCATGATGACTTATGATAATTTTGTTTGTCACAGGATACAGAAAATTCTTTGTCAGATATCACTGCATCCATATTTCAAAACAGGCAAAGATACTCAAGGAAACAAGCCACTTACCCAGTACAGTCCTGCACAGCAAGGGACAAAATTAAAACTGCCTAGCCTGCTAAAAATCTAATCCTATCCTTCCCAATTAACCTTATTAATACTAGAGTAGGAGAAAAGAGAGGTCAAAATATGGGTGAGGGTGCTATTCATTACCTCATGGACCTCCAATAATACAGCAACTATTTTACAACAGGGATTTTATTTCCTTTGTAAATAGGAACATGGCTATCTCCACTGTTCTTTAAGCCCCCACCTCTATTCTCACAATAAAAATTAACCAACAAGCAAAGACTTAGGCATAATTATGATTATTAAAATACTGATTACGATTAGATACTATACACAAATGAGTTTACGCTATCAACGTATAAAAGAGACAAACTATGGAGAAAAGTTCATTTTTTGTTAAGTTTTCCTGTTAACGTAAGGAGATACTATTACAACATGTACCTGATTTTTTTACTCAGACACATTAGGCAGTTCCAAATGCTGACACAAGCTCTCCAAAATTCTTTTTATTGGAGCCTTAGGAAAAAAAAAATCAATGAATCATCTTGCGCATCAAGTATTATATACACATATACTACGAAACATATTAAAACACAAAAATACCTTTTCATAAGCAGCCAAATTTAAAGGTCACCCTCTCTGTATTCCGTTATTCCTCTTTTTTGCTTATCAAACCCACCTCACGCAGAATGAAATCAAAGCACCGTGGAAAAAAAAAAATCCAACCGTGTTCTGGCATTGGCAGAAATCTCCCCAAGGATCAGAGCTCTTAACTTCTTTTTTTTTTTTTTAAACAAGAAGCGAGGGTTAAACTCACACTTCTTTAAAAAAAAAAAAAAAAGCCTTCACAACCGTACACTGTAACTCGACAGAACTTTCGTTTTAGGGTTAAAAAAAAAAATCCAAACAAAATCTTTCATTTTCCAACTCAAAGCAATTACTGATGAGCCTGCCCTAGGGCTCGAAAACAGAATTCTTAACAGTTCAAGCTGAGCCACCTAGAGAAAAAGAACCCTGCGACGGCCCGCCGGGAACACACAAATCTTCGAGAACGGGGCCGATTCGATCTCAGATCGAGGCTGGCACACACGAGGACATTCAGGAGAAAGCTTACAGGCATCGCCAACCTCACAGGGAGACGGGGAGGAGAACGTGAACCTGACCCTATCTTGCGGTCCACAGGGAGACCAGCAAAACAAGTGAAACGAGACCCTTTTCTGCAAGGAGGACCCAAGACCTTTCCCGGTCTGTCTGTCCGTGTCTCTCCCGCCCCCAGACCCCCGCAGCCTCTCCGATCGCAGGGACTCTCCTACCGCTCTCGCTCCCGGAACCACCGGAGAAGCCTCTCAAAACCAGAGCCGATCCGAAGTGGCTTGCCCGCCTTTCGCCGGCGCCGAGAGAGATCCCGGTCGCCAACAACAAAGACGCCTCCCGCTCCCCTCCCCCCTCCCGGCCCGGGCTCGGCCCTCCCGCGCTGCGGCTCCGGGCCTAGCGCCCCCTCCCCGAGCCCGGCCGCAGCGCCCGGCCCGCCGCGGCCCCACGCACCTGCACCTGAGGGGCCGCGGCCAAGGTGTCGGGAAGAAAGGGCCGGCAGAGAGCCTGTGCGGACGCGCTGTCCTCCACAAGGTGCGACCCACGCTGCTGCCGCCGCCACCGCCGGACTCTCCCGGCCTGCGGGCGGGCGCGGCCGAGGAGGGGGGGACGAGGGCTGCAGCCCCCGGCGCCGGGACGAGGAGGGACGGCGGCGCCCGAGGGGGCCGGCTCGCGCTCTGGAGTCTCGCCTCGCGCCGGCCCAGCTCCCGCACACGGGCTCGCGTTCTGCTGACTAACGGCCCCGGCGCGAGGCTCTGGAGCGGCCGCCGCCGTCGGCTGCTCTCGGGCCTCACGTCCCGCGCGGCCGTGGTCGCAGCCGCCGCCGCCACCTCCCTTTCTGGCACTGCAGACACCACCCAGACCCAGCGAGGTCTTTCTTCTCTTTAATCCTCCTTTCTTCGCTCCTCCTCAGCCTGCCACCGCGGGGCTAGGTCTGGTGGCGGGAGGAAGGCTGGAAGGGAACCGAGGGGGGCGAGCAGAAGCCTCGCTAAGGCAGGAGTTGGTCACTGACTGGAGGGAGATGCCAAGCTGACCCGGGCTCCAGCCTCCAAGCGGGCTGGGGGTGGGACGCAGCCTAGCTTAGCCGGCCTTCCGCCAATCACAAGCCGCACAGCGGAGTCGGGCTCCGGGAGAGGCTGAGCTTAGTCGGCAGGAGGCGGGGATTGCGGAAAAGAAGAGCCAATAGAAGCAAATGCTCTCCGCCTCTCCGCCCTGATGGACTGCCATGTTCGGACCAATGGGGGAATAGTCGCTTCGAAGGAAGCGGGATTCAGATGCCAGGTTTGAGAGAGAGGTTGCGCGGAGGGGGATGGGTCGAGACTGGTTAGCATGGAAGAACCTTGAGGGTTCTGAGGCACCAGAGGATGTCCTTTGACCGCCTTGATGAGTCACGTGGACTGACGGGGGCGGGGCGGAAAGGCTGGATAAGTTCCTTCCGGGTCAGTGACAGAAGCGTGGACTCCGCTGAGTAGTTGCTGGCGTCTTGGTCCGCTCCGCGTCTTCCTCGTATCAACGCGAGGTGATTGTGGTTTCCACGATGAGCTCCCAGAAAGGGAACGTGGCTCGTTCCAGGCCTCAGAGGCACCAGAATACGTTTAGCTTCAAAAATGACAAGTTTGATAAGAGTATTCAGACCAAGGTAGGAACCTGCCTGTTGCACCAAATCTGACTCTAGAAAGGAATGGTTCAGTGGAGGGGAAAAAGGAAATGCGAGGAGTTGGCGCGAGCGATTGTGGACCGCCGCCCAGAGTTAGTTTTGGCTGCAATACAACCTTTTCTAAAATGATTTTCCCACGCCCTTTCTTTGACCAGGACGTGTTATCTCCTCCTAAATATATTTGGCGGTCAACAATTAACCAGTTGCACAGTGAACCTAAAATGCAAGTGGAGAATTGAGTTGTTGAAGGGTTCCCATATCGATCACGTATTTGCAGTGGGAAATGAGGATAATGTCATGAGTGTCTTTCAAAGTTTGCACCAAGTTTATACAGCCGCTATTTTTTTTTTTTAATGTTTATTTTTGAGAGAGAGAGAGAGAGCAAGTGAGTGGGCGAGCAGCAGAGAGGGGAGACATAATTCGAAGCAGGCTCCAGGCTCCAACCTGTCAGCACAGAACCAGATGTAGGGCTTGAACTCAAGAACTGTGAGGTCATGACCAGAGCCAAAGTCGGACTCCCAACCGACTGAGCCACCCAAACGCCCACCACTATTTCTTTGTGTAAGCTCCAAGTCCATAGGTTTGTAGGAAGAATGTGAAGGCTTAAGTGCTCTTAGCCCCAAGTGTCCTCACCAACATAATTGGAGCATCTGTTTCTTTTGCAAGATTGTTTTGAGGATCAAAGTATTTGGCTAATGTAAAAACGCTTGTTTTGTTGGTTATAAGTCTTTTACTTCTTAAAAAAATTTTTTTAATGCTAATTTATTTTTGAGACAGAGAGATAATGCGTGGGGGAGGGGCAGAGGAAGAGACAGAGAGAGAGAGAGAGAGAGAGAGAGAGAGACACGTAGACACAATCCCAAGCAGGCTCCAGGCTCCTAGCTGTTAGCACAGAGCCTGACAGGAGGTTGGGGGAGGGGACAGGGCTCGAACTCATGGACCCTGAGGTCATGACCTGAGCAGAAGTCAGAGGCTTAACTGACTGAACAACCCAGCTGCCCCAGTCTTTTACTTATTTAGGAGGATTTTTTGTGACCTGGGAGAAAATTCAGACTTTTTATAGATGCCCAGAGGCATTGGATTGTACACAACTAATTTGCTGTAGGTATCTCCCTCTTCTCCCATAGCTTTATGGAAAGGAGATAATTGAAGTCATGGGCATCTTGGGTGCGGCTATCATATTAGATAAAACTGATTTCACATAAATGAGAGTTTGGATTTACAAAGTGTGTGGCTTGCATCATTTAATATTTAATTCTCTGAGCTTTATTTTGTCTCAAATGGAAACTTCCTAGGCTTCTTGTGAGGCTAAACTAAATGATGTAGGTAATTGGTCTGGATCATAGTAAGTGTCTCAACCTTAATTAAGAAAGCAAAGTGAACTGTTCGTGGTCACCTCTGATCTCCTTTCCTTTTTCTCTTTCTGTCTTCACTTACTTACCTTGCAGATATTTAATGAGCACCCTCCATGTACAAAGCCATATGTGCGTATATTTGCAGTGTTATAAAGAGTTGACTCTGCCTTCAGGGATCATATAGTTTTCTGCATCATTGGACAGCAAGCAAGCACAATAATATATATGATATATATCATTATGATAAATTCTGATGAAATGAAAGATCAGTAAGAAGAGTAAAGAGGGGTATTTTTTTTCATTATTATTTTTTATTTGAGAGAGAAGAGTGTGTGCGGGAGTAGGGGAGAGGGGTAGAGGGAAGAGAGAGTCCCAAGCAGGCTCTACACTCAGCGGAGCCTGATGCAGGGCTCAGTCCTATGACCCTCGGAGCAGGACCTGTGCCAAAATCAAGAGCTGGTCACTCAACGGACTGAGCCATGCAGGCCTCCCAGGAGGGATAGTTTCAATTGGGTGCTCAATGGACTTCTTTCCCTTACTTAAGTTCAAATTCAGAAAGAAAACCTGAAGCAGCATTTGAGAAGACTTTTGCAAGTTTTTGCTCATTGTTAATAGGTAAACCAGGATAAAAAGCTATGCTATTCCAAGTAGAGGTCTGCCTTGTCCTGTATTTTTGCTGTAAGGTTTTGTGCAAGCATTTAATTCTGATTATTTTTCATGAGATGATAAAAAGCAATTTTAGTAAGTATTTACCTACAGTGTAGCTTACTATACCTCTTGTAAGTATGAAACTTCTTGGACTTGTACTTCTTGTGCTAGCCTTTCTCCCTAGACTCCTTGTACTTTTCTTTGTTCATTTTCCTGATGTTCTCTAACAACCATGTCATTAGATCTTTCCATGAGTCTCAAATTCAGTCACTAAGTTTCATTTTATAATTTTTATCATTAATTTCTTTGCCTCTTTTAAATCATGAGGAAGTCTCACTTGTCTGTTGATAGAATGAGCAGGTGTTTTGTTATTGGAGAATCTGACAAAAACAGAAGAAATATTTTACTGATGAAAGGCCATTAGGTTGATTGTTCATCTAATGGAGGAGTAATAATTGGCTGTGTTCCTAGCAAATTCTCTTGATCCAGCTATGTGCATCTATCTAAAGCCAAGATTTTGTCAGAAACATCTGACCCTGTCTTCATTCCTATGCTTCATACCAAAAAGCTGCTTGATTCAGTGCCATCCAACAAAAGGGTGGTGAGAGTGCATGGTTGTCTGTAACTCTCCTTAAGGGACTGTAGTGACAGTTGCTTATTTGTACCTCATTTGTAAGAGTCCTGCACGATAGCTTCCCTTTTCTGCCAACTGGTTCGTCAAGACTCGACTGGGATTAGAAGTTGAATAATGACAAATGTTTTATTGGGAAGTTTGTCTAAGCAAAGGACTCATTCTCCAAAGGACCCAGGTGATAGCTGTCTTCATGTGCTTGAGCATATTCCAGAACAAGAGAGAAGCCCATTCTGTGGTTTTCTAAATGGCCAAACTTGGACCAAAAGGTCAATGTTACAGAGAGAGATTTCAGCTTAATATAAGAGAGTTGTCTGATAGGAACATGCACTAGGATTTTGTAACCTACCTTTCCCTGGGATTATTTAAGAGAGGCCTCTATGGCCATTGGTCTGCAGTGTCCTCTCATGACTTGCTGAGATGAAAATAGATTTAAATCTCTTCTAGTCATTTCATACTAAAATGTTGATTGTAGCAGGACTGCCTTGTGTCCCTGGAAAGGCAGTGATGTGTAATGAAAAGAACATTGATGAAGAAAAAGGATCTACATTTTAGCCTCTGTTGTTTATTTTGCTTTGTGATGTTAGGCAGTTTACCTAGATTTTAATTTGCAAAATGGAGTTAATACTATCTCTTGTCTTATTTTCCTCTCAAGATTGCCATAGGGATCATTATAAAAATGTCTTTACGAAGTAGTATACAAATACAAACTGAGCATAAAGCAGATGAGAATTTATGTAGACATACTCAAAGCAAATTAATTAGAAAAGAAATACACTTATTGGAGAATACTGAAAATGGAGAAATGTGGATAGTATAAAAGTAAAATTACCTTTTCCCAATCCTATTCCTCTTTAAGTGTAGTCACTGTTAATTTTTTTTTAACAGTTTATATATGTTTTTAGACATCTATGCACAATATGGTATATATGTAATAAAAGAACATTTTTTCTTCCTCATTCAATTAAGGTAGGTATGTCAGAACACAAAAATTAAACTTACTCTTTTTAATGGCTGTATAATATAAATGTAGACTACCTTACTTTCCTGTTAGTAAACGCTTGAGTTATTTTCAGTTTTTCACTATGACAAAGCTGCAGTGAAATTCTTAGATTCACATATGTGTTTCACATTTATTATCTAGCACCAAACACTGTGCTAGATGCTAGAGATATAGGGTTGAACGTAATATAGTTTGGTGGGCAAGATGAAAGCAGTAATCAATCTTTCAAGTATGTTAATACAAATCACAGTAAGGATGATGAAGGAAAAGTCTCAGGGAACCTGAGTATCAAGCAGGAAGTCTTGATTAAGTTTGGAGGCTTAAAGAAGGCTTCCTTGAGATCTGACAGATGGATAGCATTTAACTAAATGAAATAGGAAGAACGTATATCTTTTTGATAAGAATACTATTTGTTTTATATGTGTAGTTAGTGTTGTTTCTACTAGCATTTCCCAAAGTGCCCCAGGATCCTATCTTCTCGATAGGGCAGGAGTTAGTTTCGTGGTCAAATTACTTTGGAAATAAGTATATACCGGATCTCACTGTTAGGGGTCATAGTGTGCATTGGCATACAACAAACACTAAGATGTTTCGCTCTCTAAAAGTTGTTTAGGGGGGCACCTGGGTGGCTCAGTCAGTTAAGCGTCCGACTTCGGCTCAGGTCATGATCTCACAGTCTGTGGGTTTGAGCCCTGCGTCGGGCTTTGTGCTGACAGCTCAGAGCCTGGAGCCTGTTTCGGATTCTGTGTCTCTCTCGTTCTCTGACCCTCCCTGTTCATGCTCTCTCTCTCTCGGTCTCAAAAATAAATAAATGTTAAAAAAAAAAATTAAAAAAAAAAGAAAGTTGTTTAGGGGCACCAGGCTGGCTCAGTGGGTAGAGTGTGCATCTCTTGATCTCAGGGTTGTGAGTTTGAGCCCAACACTGGTGTAGAGATGACTTAAAAATACAATCTTAAAATAAAGTTATTTAACCAAAACTTGCTTGGTTTTGGAACCCTTTGGTTTCCATAATACCTACTGACCTTGAACTTATTTCAGGAGCAAGAAACTCATTTGGGAAACTCTGGTCTTTATCTTGAAGTGGAAAAGGAAAATGAAAATTGGAGGCTATACTCTCTAAATCATTTTGGAAAAAAAAATTTATTAGTAATAGCTAATATTTGTGTGCTTAAATGTGTTAGCCACTATGCATACTTAATATACATCATCTAATTTTGCTCTTCAAAATGACCCTAAGATAGATGCTATAATTATCCCATTCTGTGTATTGGGAAGTTAGGACTTAGTGATAGTTACATAATTAGCACATGGCTGTCCGCTGATTAGGTGATGTCTCTGTTAGGAG